CTCTGGAATTCAGAGCAGAGAGACACAGAGTCATGTTTCCTACAGCAACACAGAGTTCACCAACTAGAAACGGGGCGGCTCATGCAATTAAGATGCTTACTAAGAAATGCGGGCACTTGATGTTTACAGAAGAAATGTGATTCTGTGCGTTGTTTTCAAGCAGAAGACCAGGATGGGAAGTGAGGCTGCGAAAGGAATTTGCTCTACATGACAGTGCCCAAAGGCTCTGGGTCTCCATGTCAGGACGTTCCCAGATGGAGCCCCACGTGCCATTCCTGCTGCACTATGCACAGCCTGAGCAGCCACGGGCATGCGAGATTCAAAGGGAAAAACACAGCGTTTCGACCAGTTATCTTCAAAAAGAACACCTTGTGCTTGACACACGCTTGTCTTTCACCTCTCAGAATCAACGCAGTTCCTGTTGATCACCGTTAAACCACACGACTGCAATCAGTGATGGGAAGCTTAGCGTTCACACACGGCATGCATCAGCTCAAACCACAACCCCACACTTTGTGCCAGGGTTGCCCCACACACGTGGCAGCTCTCAGAGCCACCACAGACCTGGCTGTGTCTGGCCTGGCAGGCAGAGCTGCCACCTGCACCACGGAGCACCCCATGACTTTAAATACTGCCATAACCCAAGTCACACCGGGCACACGAAGGTCACCGTGCTGCCCCGCACCTGCCAGGCCCTATATTTAGGCTGAGCACTTCAGAGATGGAGACCTACAGCCTGACACACTGCACCGGCTATCCCATAAGCAGAAAACAACCTGAGCAGAGCCCGACACCCCCTGCCCCCAGCCGTCCTCCTGGCCCCGCTGCTGCCCAGGTCATGGCACAAAACGGAGGAGTCACACCATCCCTCTGCCTGCCCTCAGCACATTAACAGAGCCCCAAAACAAAGCACCAAAACAAGAGTCACTCTGTCTCTACGCAAAGAAATCAGAGCTGAATAATATAAGCCTTTCCTTTGTGCTGTACAGAAGCAGATGCTCGTTTACCAAAAGCATCAAAAAAATCACGAAGAGGCCGCCGGATTCCACTCATGTAACAGAAGGAAGTTATCTGCTCACTATTTCAACTTCTGCAGCACTCAGCGCTTTCATTCTCACTGCATCCTCCCCACAAGGATGTCTGATCCCAAAGACAAGGCAAAAAAAAAGCAGGACAGCCCTTCCCCATCAGCAAAGTGAACACAGCTCCAGACCCATGTTAAAGCTGCAAGGCAAAGCACCACAGCATCACTTCAGGCAGGTACAGACCCCATGGTGGTACCCAGCTCCACGAGCCATGCTGTGCCAGTGCAGGGCAGCGCTCTGGTGCTCTACTGACAATGAGACATCAGGAAAAGCTCTCCAGATCAAAATCAGGAGATCTAATCCTGATGCATTTCAAAACACAAACTCGGCACCGCTTCCCAACCTGGCTCTTCCCCCGGTGATGCAGCCAGTTCTTCCTGAAGGCAACGCTGCTGCGACTCTGCTTTTCTGTCTGCTCTCTGAATGGGGATCAGCTTACCAGGAGCCCTTTATTCCTGAAATAATTTCCACTAATCACTCACCGTGTGCCACATTAAACAGGCTGTGGGGTGTCTGACAGCATCACTGCATCCCAGGGCTTAAGTAAAGGCTGAAAGGAAGCGCGGGCAAGAGGCAAAATGAACACGCAGATGTCCATGTAGCAGAACTACACATGCTGCAGTGTCTGTGCAGACACTTGTGGATTACTTAGCAATGTGGAAGCAGCATTGCTTGAACCAGGCACGCTTCATCTGCCCACAGGAAAGGAAAGGAACCACACACAGCATCCCCAAATGCAGCCCTGCAGCGGTTTGGCATCTATGACTCCGCACATTACCTTACTGCTATTACCTCTGTCTGACTTCCAGCTAAAGGTGAGCTTAGCAGTGCTGTCTCGAGTGCACTTACAGTGCTCCTAACTCGAGGTGAGGAGCCTGCAAAGTTCTGCTGAGCAGGTCTGAGACTGAAAACCCATTAAATGAGTTTTGTTTTATAAAAGCTTCAACTCCAAAGAGCGGAGATTCCAGATGTGTTTATCCACGCCGCAGTCAGGTGCTGAATTTCATCAGAATTAGCACTTGAGGCACTTTGGCAGCCAAGTTCCTGCAGCCCTCAACACAGGCCTTCCTATTTCCTAAAAGCATTCAACCCCAGTCAGAAACCACACTTTGAAGGAGCAGGACTGGTGGAACGCTGAGTGCGGCTCTGGGGCACAAAACCAGAGAAGTCCCAACAAGAACAGAGTGTACTTTAGGGAAAATCATAAACTGGATTGGGTTGGAAGGGACCTCGAGGAAAAGGCTCTTTAAGAGCCTTAAAAACAGCTCTAAAATAGAAATTTGCTTAATTTTGAGCTAGAGAGACTTATTAGAGACTATTTACCCTCAGCTCACAGACGGGTGCTTACCCTGCTCGTTCCAAGGCACACAGATATTCCTCTGTTGGCTTCCCAACAACTTTCCTATCACAGTAAAACAACAGCAGGGCAGGAGTGGTGCTGACAAATTGTTTGTATTTAGGCAAGCTGGCTCTCCAGCTTTGCGACACACAGAGGAATGCAGCTGCTCTGCTTTGGGTTTGGGATTTCTCCACTTCTTTCTCAAAGCAAATAAAGGGAGAAACAACAAGAACAACCCAACAACAACAGAGCAGCCAACGAAACTCACAGAGCTTTAAAAAGGAGAAGTGAGAAAATCAGCTTAGGGCACCGAGTTCCACAAAGCATGCAAGACACGGACAGACCAAGTTCTCGAGGACAAAGGTAAAACTAGCAATAGCTTTTCATATCTGCAGCTTTGTGCAGATGATGTCTACCCTTAAATTGCGGTTTGACAGAGTCATTTATCATTTGCTGACCACAAGATGCTCCTGCAGGCCCACCTGCCCATGGGAGGCTCCCACCTGGATGGATGGGCACGGAGCCCTGAGCTGCTGCCCACTGCACAGCGCCCTGCTGGGCACCGTGGTCCTGCCCAGCCAGCTGAGCCCAATCATGAACTCAACTCAGTCATCTTTGTAAGCACACCAGAGCTTCACCCAAAGTTCGGATGCAACACTTTTGCAGTAAAAAGCTGGAGGTGTAACAGCATGCAAAGCAAACTCAGAATCAGGCCGTTACACCGAGCTGCTGAGAGCAGACAGAGCCCACCTGGAGCAGCACAGCCCGCGTAGGGCCTCGGTGTGAAGGATGTGAGGGCTTCAGTGCTAAGTGACAAAGGTCATTTGTTTAAAAGAAAGGACTGAATCATTCATGGTTCAGCAGTCTGGGGATTTAACCTACTTCTTACATGGCTTATTGCAAGGAAAGCAGGAGACCCCAAAGGGCTGAGTGTGATGTTGATGAGGGCTGGATAAGTACGGGATAAACAACTGAACAGGCTGAATAAGGAGCCTGTGAGCTTACTGCACCTAAAAATGCCCAGATTTAAAAACGTTGCCAGCACCAAGAAGCTCTCAGGGGCAGGATTCCTCCACTTTCCTTAGCCAGGGGAGGGCACTCACCCACATGGGCTTCTCTTCTTCCCCAGCTGCTGTCACTTGATGTCCATGAACCAGAGGGCTGATCCCTGCCACAGACACTGGGTTAATCCCACACAGTGACCATTCCCAGGCTCCCATCACTTCCCCACTGCACACACAAAGCAAAGCAGTGACTTCTGAACACATCACCCCATGTATCTCTGGAAATTGAAGGCTTCAGTCAGCTGCTACAAGACACTGTGGCTGGAAACCCTAATTGCAGAATGGCTCTGTACACATCAGATCCACCACACTGGAGAAAAACTATTTGCTGAATGAGTTTTAAGCCCATAGGGGTTGATAATTTAAATGCTGTTTGCCAAAGTGATGCAGAGGAGACAGCAGCCCTGCATGGCTCATCCGGATGGGATCCTGAACCTTAAACTCCCTCTGACCTCACAAACAAGTCAGAAGCAATGTTTCAGGACAGTCAGCGTGAAGTCGTTGAAGACAATTAAGCAATAATTTAGCGAGGGGCTCTCTGACAAAGGTGGGAGGGAGTGCAGCCCTGTGAAACACCCCCAGGCAGCCCCAAAAGGCCCTTTTCTGCTGATAATCTCACTCTGGTCCTTCTGCCTTGTAATCCTCAAAAGCATCCAAAGCATTTCCAGAGTCCTGAGCATCTGCAGAAGTTGCCCCTCCGGGAACAGTCCATGGGAGCTGGCAGTCAGCAAGTCTCCAGTGGACACTGTGCTCCCAACCAGGAGTGCTGGGCGGGCACAGGGCTGCCCTGCAAACCCTCCTCTGCTGCCCCAGGCCTCGCTTTCTGGCTGACAACCACCTCTGTCCTTCTCCCAGCCCCCCCCAGGAAGCATCAGTGAGACAAACTCCGGGAGCTTCCGGGGAGTAAGAGGAAAAGGCAAACAGGAAAAGTACTTCGGAACAGCACAGCCCTGGCTGAGTTAATGATCAGCTCAGCAGGCAGCACACTGCTTCTATTCAATTACCGCAACTTATTTGCATTGCTTTTAATAACCAGAGAACAGCATAGATCTCTTTACACGCTGCTTTTGATCTCACAGAAGGATGGGACCAGCCCAGCAGCCTTGCTGCTGGCAGCCTGCACGCTTCCATTGCTCTGCACACACAGCTGGAAAGCTCCGTGCGGGTGCTGACACTGACACTGCACTGAGCATCAGCCAGAGCTGGGAGCGAGGATGGGGGATCACTGCTGCTCCCTCCAAACATCCTCAGCACTGATCCTCAACACAAAGGTAGAGCACTTACAGAGGTACAGCACGTAGAGATGAGATGGAAGATTTCCAATAACTCGCTGCTTGGAGGAGCGCGGTCTGGTTGTGCTGAGAGGTCGAGAGATTTTGGCAGCAGGACACAGAGAGTAGATAAAAAGGTTGCAAGGTTTCGCGTGCAGTAAATAAATAAATACACAGCTCTGCACGCAGCAACTTCACACCCTGTGATGTCAGCACAGGGCACGAGTTAAGGTGTGTCACGGGGACGGTGCTTCAGAGAGCAGAGGACGTGGCCACGGGGCTTTAAAGACAGAGGAAATGGGCAGGGAGGGGAAGGACAGGACTAATGCTGCCTGGGTATGGGGACACGGCACAGGGAGTCCTCAATAACTATCAGTCAACAATTTGGAACAGGAAATGGTGTGAAGCAAGCAGGAGAAACAGCAAGCAAGTTTACAAAGTCAGCTCCATTTCATGCTGCAGAAGTGCTGAGGATGAGGCAGTAAACAGCACTGGAGCACTTCAACACGTGGGCACGGGGAGGGCTCTCACTGCTGCTGTAGCCAAGGCAGAGAGAAAATGGTTAACCAGCCCCAAACACACAGCTGTGCCCTGCAGTGCCAGGTCCTTCTGCATCCCTCACTGCTCACAGGGATGTGACACAGTGATGTGGCACAGCAGTGCATGGCACAGTCCCACTCCCTAAACGAATGGGAAGGTGGGCAGCAGAGGGATCCGGCAGAAGAACAGCATTATCACAGGGCCACGGAAAAAACACTTCAGGACACTGATAATGTGCTAGGATACCTAAAACTTGGCAAAAGGAAAAGGAAGTGATTGCAGACAGGAAGAGCTGATCTATGGCAACTTGTCCGGGCTTCTCCTGTACAAAATCCTTTGGTATGTGCATGCTGTCTGAAGTTCTGCTTTTTTCCTCCTGTCTCGCCATCAGCTGCTTCAGAGTTTCATGAGACTGAAAGAAGTTTTGAATCCCACACCAACGAGCTGCAGCCATGAGTTCAGAGCTTCTGCCAATCTTAAGTGTCTGGGACTGCAATGGGAGCCCTCGTGAACTCAAACCAAACGAGCCCCCGAGCAGCTGACTCTGTCACTGCCTAAAAGTGTCAACAGGAGCAATTTCTGCTGAGCTCTGACAGCCCGAGCTGATCAGCCAAACACAGACTGCACTGAAACTGGAGGTCCTGATTGCATTTGGGCCACCACTGCCGTTCCCATCCCACAGAGAACACGTTTTCAGCAGAGCAAATCAACAAAATTGGGATTTTTAGGTCTTGGCCAAGAAGAAAGAAGGACACCTGATACCATCTAAGCCTTTGGGAACTTGCTGTTAGGAGCAGTTCCTCATTACGCCAGTCCCAAGCAGTGCCCTGATTGAGAACACCGGTCCCATGTGAGCACTCTGTGGCTCTCACAGCCCTTAATCTCCCTGGCCAGGAGGGCAGCACAGGCTGTCTGATAACCCCTATCTCCCTCCCCAGAGAGAAGGACGGGCGCTCCTTCCTACCCGGGCTGCCAGCGTTCCCATGCCCTGCCCGGCTGCCCCCGCTGTGTGACACACGGGGTATTTCCCATCCCGTTCCCGTGGAGCTTCGGGTACATCGCTGTTCAACTTTCGCTACCAGCAGCCACAGGGAATGCTGTAATACAACAGCCAACGCCACGAGGGGCTAAAAGCAGTCGGTTGTAAGTACTTGGGGTCGTTTCTGAAAGGCTCAGAGACACGGAACGGAGCTGACTGCCCACCCTGCTCTACAAGGGGCGACGGAGCGGCGGGACCGATTCCCCGACGGAGCACAGCCGGGGCGGCCCCGCACCCAACACCGCGCGTGGCCAAGTCTTATCTACGCTCCACATCGGACATCTCCCACGTTAATCCTTCCCACAAACGCAACTCGAATCACCCACAAAGGAAGAGATGATTGGGATTTGTCCCAAAGGGTCTGCGGGCTGAGCGCAGGACCGGCAGCAGCCGGGGTGCCTCCGGCTCGGCAGCGGGGAACGAACTCCGGAGCGCCGGCAAAGAGCGGCAGGAAGGCTGCGAGCTGCCCTGCGGCTGCCGGCCGGGAAAAGTTTGCTGAGAGCGGCGGGGAGCCGCGGCACGGCGGGGAATGGCCGGGAGGGGGTCCCGCTACGAGCGCCCAGGGGCCGGTCCCGTTCGGTACTTACAGCTGAGCGATGGTTCCCTGCGAGATGACGGCGTTGTCGGAAAAGTAGGGGATCATGGCGAAGCCCCAGCCCCGCAGGCAGCAGGTAGGCGGCCGCCCGGCCCCGCGGCATGGGGAGCTCCGGCCGCCCCGCTGCTCTGCTCCGCTCTGCCCCGCTCCGTTCCGCCACCCGCCGCACTGCGCAGGAGCGGCCCGGCAATGCCCCGGCCACGCCCCTTATGGGCATAGCCACGCCCCCTTCACAGCAGACCACGCCCATTCTGGGCACGACCACGCCTCCTTTTTGGATACAACCACGCCCCTTTGTGCTTGGCCACGCCCACCGGCGCGCACGTGGCGATTCGGTGCGGGAGGGAGCGAGCAGCAGCAGTGAGGGGGGGGGGGAGGCTGCCCGTTGGTGGTTGGTTCTTTGTTTTCCTACCCCTAGCTCCAGGTAAGGGAGCAGAGGAGGGCTAAAAAACTCGAGGCTTGGGGGAAGCAACGCAGGGAGTGGTTTTGGGAAAGGCACGCAGTGCGTAGGAAATGACCTTAATTTCTCTCCTGCAAGAGAGAGGGGAAAGCGTTCTTGGCAATAACTTTCATATTTAGAAACTTGAATACGTCAAATGAGAAGAGAAGCAGCTGCCTTTGGGCGCTATTCCATCCTCAGCTCCATCGCTCCTGAGAGAGTGGGAAGAAGGGAAAAGCCTCGGGGCAGGAACCCGGCCCAGGGCTGCAGGGAATGCGGAGCACCAAGGGAACCCTCCTGCAGTACTCCCCCGTTCCAGCCCAGGGAGGGGGAGGGAAAAGAAAGCCTGAAGTCAGCTCATGCTCCATTCCCCATAGAAACATCAGCCCAGCACAGAGGGGATGCACACAGAACCCAATCCTGGTGCCTGCTTCAGGTCCGATGCTGATGGGGAAGCTCCCACCCAAACACACCTTATGGCTTCATGGGGGACAGACGAAGCAGCACAATGCGTGATGCTGCAAGTTCCCTCAAGGAAGGTTTAGCTGTATTAATGTAGGCTGTCTCATACAGCCGAGAGCACATCTCTGGTAATGCTTCCTCACAGCTGTTTAAAAAAAAATGCAGTGCCAGCTCACTGCTGTGCCAAAAAAAAAAGTCATTTTGTTGGACAGAAACGAAGTCAGTTGCAAAAAGCAATGGAAAAATCAGAGCATGAGAGAAATGGAGGTAACTCAACCCTCAGCGGGGTCAGGAGGCTGGCGAGAACCTCACACGCAGAACTGACACATACCACACGTTCACAGACTGAAAAACAACCCCAAACTTCTGCCCTACTCTAATGAGAAACTTAAGGGCTTTATGCACAAGTTGTGTAAGACCCAATGAATTCAGATATAGTCCAGACAAAGGTCAGGTTTGTTACTAGCAACCACCATTAGAAAGGCAAGCCCTCAGAAGTGGTGAGGACTGCGAGCAGCTACTCGTAACACACAGATAACAGATCTGTAAATGAAGTAATCCTGCTTTCATACCACCAAGCACCGTGTCTCCATACATGGGGGATGGCAGAAACACCCCGGGTTTTTCTTTTTGAAACCCCAGACAACAGAAGTGGAAAATGCTCAAGGAAGTGCAGGCACTGAAATCTGTACTCATAAAAGGTGTTTGACTGGAGTTTGTTGCCATAAAGGTGGGAATGCTGAGGCTGACACTGCCCTCAGGTCAGTGTTAATCAAAGTTAACACTTTGATTACCAGCCCCCATTTAAGCACCATTTGCACACTCTGCAAATGTCACAGCTCAGGCACAGCCCCAGTTTGTTTGGGTGCTGCATCCCACACTGCAGGGTTGGGCTGTGGGGATGTGATGGAGCTGAGGCAGGACACAGGGCACAGGACAGCTGCTCCTCGCTGCAAGCAGGTGCACCGTGCTGGGACAAACACAGACGGAGCTCAAAGCACACAAATTGCAGCGATGACAGGTAACAGCCTAAATCACTGCGTGCTGCAATAGGGCACCAGCACAGCCATTCATCACCACCTGACAGGATGTAAATACGTCTGTCTGGGGTCAGAGTGCTTCCCAGGCTGCTGTATGAAGTGTGTTTTGTTGTGGGGGCAGGGGAGTGCTCCCCTAAGCACCAATCTCCCTCTGAAGAGCCCCACTGAACATCATCTATTACCATCACGTTTCTGGAAATGTATTTCAGTGGGTAAGCAGGGCCTGGTATTACTTTAAGTTTGCTTGAAATGAATGCAAGCACTCTACCAAAGCAATGGATGTTCTTTTCCTCCAACACAGGAGGAAGAACCAAAGGAAGGTGCTATAACCATAATGTTATATAACCATAACATATAACCATAACCTGATATGGTACCTGATTTAGTGGTTGTCAGCCTTGCCCACAGTGGGGGTTGGAAGTGGATGAGCTTTGAGGTCCTTTCTAATCCAAACCATTCTATGATTCTATGACTGGTTGCGTTCAGGGTAAAGAGAACAGTGGGATGTTATCAGATGTAGGAATTTTGGCCTAGATCTATCAGCACCAGTGGAAGAGATAAGGAAAAGCAGAACCTGTCTCCACTTTCAGATTAGGAAGAAAGCTCCTAGGCAGCTGCATTAGAAAACCTCCCTCACCACATCCTCTCTCCACTGGGAAATGAGCTGGCTTGGCATCAGGGCCAATGGGGAAAGAAGGTCTTAAGAAGTGTATTGTAGGAACATGGTGCCAGATTCCAGCTGTTTGAGGGCCAGAGGATATAATGCCCCTCCTGTGCTGCCATTCAGCAGGACCTGTGCAGGCTGAGAGCTGGGCACAGAGGAACCTCATGAGGTTCAACAAATGCGAGTGGAGAATCCTACACCTGGGGAGGAATAACTGCACCCATCAGTACAGCTGGGAACTGAGCTACTGGAAAAGGAGCTCTGTAGGGAAGGACCTGGGTGTCCTGGTGGCGAGCAGGTTAGCCGTGAGCCAGCAGTGTGCCTTCGTGTCCAAGGATGGTACCATGATGACTTAGCCATAAATCACTGCAGCAAATCTATGGGTAGGAGACCCATCCCTTGAGCAGCAGCTCCTGCACGAGGCTCCTGCTGCAGACCCACTTCGGGGAGAGGAGCAGTGAGAAGGGTGCTGGATGCTTTCAGCACGAGAGACAGCTGTGTTATCTGGTCTCATTTATCAGGAAAACATGAAGCCATTGCAGTAGCAGTGGTCATAAACAAGCTGATGCACGCAGGGCAGAACGAGATACTGGGGAAGAAAGAAAGCTTTCCCTGTGGTGAGAGGCACGCCACCCACCAAGCACACGGCAGCTCTGTTACACACAGCAAGGAAATCTAACAAAGCAATTAGAAAAGAGGCTGTATCTGGTTAAAAAAAAAAAAGAAAAAGGAGTGGGGAGGCAAGATGAGGGAAAGCATGCAAAACTCCGCTCTAATCCTGAAGAACCAGTCAGAACAGGAAGCCACGCTCTGAATTTGGTTATTTAAGCTGTCAAAGAGTATTTCTGTTTTCAGCTCTTGTGCAAAGAATCAGACAGGAGCAAAGGCAGGGCGATAAGCATCGCAGGAGGAACAGACCTTGCTTTTAGAGACCGTTTGGTCAGCTGCCCATTGTGATCAATGATCTGGCTTCTCAGGTGAGAATTCAACACCTATTTTGCAATATTATCACTTCATTAAACCCTTCCCTCACAAAACCCACACCCAATTGTTGTCCAGTTTACTTATCGGTAAATCTCAGAGGGTCTGACACAAAGAGGTCAATCCCAATTACACCCACCTTACAGCTGCAGAAGCAAAGATTGCAGCAGGGATGGGAGCAGTGGTGGCTGTTGCTCCTATTGATGATGCTGGACATGGCAACCCATGGAGAAGCTTTGGCTGAAGTGCTTCTAAATAGTTAATCCAGACCCTTGCAAACCACTACATCACTGCTCCAAGTCCAGCAAGGACAAAGCCAAAATGAAATGTCTGAGATTGTAAAATAGGTGATGTGTTATTTGAGTGACCTATAGAAAAGAAACAGGTAAATCCTCTGAAATGTCAAACGTAATCCTATTTTTAAATTGATTTTTAAAAGGAATGTTTCTCATGCAAGGATACCAAAGAATTGAAGGGCAGTGAGTCTAGAAACCCTTGTCCAGATTCTCAAAATACATTTAAGTGCTGGGATTCACACAGAGCTGAGAACTCTGAGGATTGCTGCCTGGCTTCCAAGTCCTGACAAGGTGCCCTTGGGGACCAGAACTGTTATTTTGGAATCTCCCTTTCTATTTACAACAGGAGTGCGCTGACTCCTCTCCCCTGGAGCACCTGGCTTCTGCTTGGCAGGAGACACAAACACGTCTGGAATCCCAGCCAGCCGCTCCTTCACCGACCTCTGAAGCAGCAGCACAAGTGCATGGGGCAGCTGCTCCGGGTTAGCAGACCCACTTGGTAGCTAAAGGATCCGACCCTCCTTCATTCCTTCCACCTCCTAGTCCCTTGCTCCTCGTTCTCCTCTGTTCACACACTTTCAGTGATACATCAGCAAACTTTTCACAGGCCTTCATGCTTTGAGCACACTCCCTGCTATAGCACAATATCTTTACCTTGTAACCTTGGTGTAATTTGGCAGTGCAACAGCTAATACTGATTTGCTCGTCCAGCTGTGAGGATCAAGTCACGTCACTGCTTATTGTGAAGCACAGGCACGCCATTGGACTGGACTGAACTCACTGCAATCACAAAAGGCTGCAGGTAGTTATTACCAACCTAACCAGAGAATCATTTGAGTTGGGGTGGACCCTTTAAGATCATCTGATCCAACTCCCCTGCAATGCACAGGGACACCCACAGCTCCATCAGTGCTCAGAGCCCCTCCAGCCTGACCCTGGCTGTCTGCAGGGATGGGGCACCATCTCCTCCCTGGGCAATACGTGCCAATGCTTCCCTGCACTCATCATAAAAAAACTTCTTCCTTATATCCAATCTAAATCTTTTCTCGTTACGTTTGAAATCAGGCCCTGTTAAAGAGTCTGTCCCCTTCTTTCTTACAGCCCCTCTTTATAAACTGAAAGGCTGCTAATGGGTCCCTCCCCAGGAATAAACCCAATTCTACCACCAGTGCTACACCTTTGCTCACAGTTTGCTGGTAGAACACCCAGCACTGAAAATGAAGATTTGCATGAACTGTGATGTGTGGCCCACAGAACTTTTCCTGGAGGTCAGCTGAGCTGGCAGATGAACAGAACACTTCTTTATCTCCGTGTTCCATTCTACACAAGCAGCTGTAGTAAATGCCACTGGGACTGGGCTGTCACTGAAAGGAAAGGCAGAAAGATGGATACAGGAAATGCATTCTAAAGATAAGGTTTGTGCTACAGGAGCTTAGTAATCTCCGGCATGGATAAACACAAGCTCTTCCATACCCTGCACACGCAGATCCCTCTCACTGGAGGTCTGGAGCTACCCAAGTGCCTCACAGACCCAGCAGAACTTCCAGCTACAGCTCCAGTACCAACAAAATGAGTTTGGCAGCTGCAGCAGCAAGCAAGGGAAGCACAAGGCAGGCTGAGGAGGCAGAACACCCAGCATGTGGCTTTTGGAGCCCCTCGTAGCACAGGATGTGCTCAGGGTAACAGCAGTGTCAGCAGCCTGGCCACCAAATGGTGACTCATCCTAGAGTCACACACCTGGATGGGGTGAGTGAGCTCTGTGATGTGCCATCACCCTGCACCCAGACATGTCCCCAGGCACTGAGCAGCCTGCAGTGGGTGTCAGTGTGACCATCCAGCAAGCAGCCCTGCAGCTCACCTCGTGCAAGGAAACCCAAGCACCAATTCCACGCACCACTGAGGCAGTTAAAAACAACTCTTAACACTGTTAGCAACCATAACCTTCTGTATTAAATTGCCGTCTCCCACTCCTAAAACAAAAGGCATTTACTCCCAGCTTGAAAGCTTGAGGCGTTTTGGCACATCCAGCTGTTATCATAGCGGTAATCTGATTTGCTTCCCTTCCCAGCTCACTCCTGGAAGGAACTCCTTTGACTAAAACAACAAACCAGAAGGTGAGCACACATGGGCTGCAAACCTAACACAGCGCACCTCCCTCCGGACTGGGGCAGCTGAGAACTTCAGGAGCACATTTGCATGCAATAAACCCAATTCAGGGCAGGACTTGACTTCTCTTGCATCCCAAGGGAACACAGGCTCCATGTCTTTCCCAATACACACAGACTGAGTGCAGGCCATAAAAGCTCAAAGTCTTCCCTGAAGTCCCTGCAGTTGGTCTGTGCTCAGTGTGCTGCAGGTACCAGGCAGCTTCAAATGCTGCATTTCAGCTCGGAGACAGCACTGGGAGCACAGGCACTGCTGCAACCAAAGCAGCCAGCACTGAGCCATCCCGCCAGCACACAGCCCTGGAGGTGTCAGCCATCAGCAAAACAAAGGTGCTGAATCCTCGCAGCACCAGCACAGGGCAAGCAAAGCTGAACTGATACACCAGCTGGTGTAAGCACAGCTCGAAGTTCTGTATGTGAGCATTTTAGGTGAGTTTTAACAGCATCAGGATGATGCAAAGAGACTGTGAATGCAGATGTTAGAGTCAGTTCAGTGCAGCAGCAGCAGAGGAGCAGGCCAGCTGGTTTACGGCTTTCAGACAGCCCAATAAAAATGTCTAGAAGGCAGTTATGAGGGCAATAAATGTAACAAATTGATTGTTCTGTACACCTGCTTATGCAGTAGTTCCTTCTTAGTATCATTAGCCAGGAATTAGGTGAGAAGGACAGGCTCAGTCAGGGGCTTGTGCCAAGGACACAGGGATCCCACCCCAAACTACAGGACTGGTGATGGCCCTGGCAGGGCAGTGACCTCCCCAGCTTCTCCTAGAGCAGGGCTACAGTGTGCTGGAAACATTCAGACAGACCTCAGGAGGCAGCTGTGGGGATGGGCAGAGCGGAGCTGGGCGCTGCTGCTCCCTTTATGCCCACAAATCCCAACATGGAGGCGAGCGTGGACTCGTCACATCTCTGCAGAGCAGGTTTAAGTTCAAACGAGGTCTTCATGTTTCCTTCCTCCTGCTGTGAGCCTCCAGTCAATGCAATCACAGCCCTTAGAAAGTGCAAATAGGCCAACACCCCGACAAGTTGTTTAAGGTATGGTGGTCTTGATGCACCTACCTGTAAGTATAGTTCAAGTTAGAAACTCAGTTCTCTGCCTCTTTGGAGGATGCTCGAGGTCGGTTGCTCTGAGTGCTACTCCCTCGTGCTGTCACACTGCCAGCCTTTGCTACATGTTCCCCTTCACCTCTATACATGCCTCTTATCTCACCAGTGAGCAAAGGCAAACAGCAGAAGCCTTAACATCGGAGCCTGCCCAGCCAGCACTGGCAGCTGTCAGGCTGGACTTCAGCAGCACATCTGCCATTTGACAGCAGTGCCAGGACCCCACAGACAGCCCCAGGAGGATGGGAACGTGGGCTGTGCTCCCACTATCTGCAAAAGCCTCTAGATACCAAACATGTTTCTGTGCTTATGATTGGGTCTTCATCTGACTCCCTCAGAAGTAATGCTAGGCCTATATGCTACCATCCCATTTAACAAATACTGATATTTTTTTACTAACCCAAACATGCTTTCAGCCACAGCAGTGCTCTTGCACTCAATGGCCAATTAACGGGCTGAGTTTGGGCATGCTTGATGCCAGCTACACTACCCTGGGGCGGTGATTAAACAAATTCTACCAAGAGACAGAAGGAGTCCTTTAGAAGAGTTCTATGAATTAAAAGACAGTTCCTACCTGAAGCACAGGCAGCTCCAGGCAGATCCCCAGGCTGCACCTTGGGCTCACCCAGGTCAGTAGCAAGCAGTGCCAGAGCCCTTCATCAACACCACACCTTGTCTTTAAAGCCAAAATCGGTCCATCACCTCACCACTGTCTGGATTTTAATAGCTACTGCTTGCCATGCTCCCTTGAAATTGGGGATTAGATAGATGCACTCCAGAGCTGTTTATAGACAGCTGCTGCTCCTCCTCTGCAGCACCTCTGGTTGATGACTTACCGTGTTTGGCTCTTACTTTTATCCCACTGTAATCAACCATCCAACACCCATGTGTCCGCAGGAGGGACCCCGGCTCTGTGCAGCTCTCTGGGCACAGCATTCAAATCACCAGCAGCAGGCTGTCACTTCCTCCCTCAGGAAGTTACTTCAAGTTGAAAAAAAAAAAAACCCACGCTTCTTTCAAACCTAACCTACGATTGTTGTTAAGTGCCCACAACAATTACATCCCTCCCACCCCCCCCCAATATGTTCTGTATACTTAAGACGAGGTCATGAGCCCATCTTGTGACTGCTGGAAGGCTGGGAGTGAAGTTAAAAATTTGAGTTGAGCCGAGTTCAGCTTGAGCCTTTGGGACTGGTGTTTTCCAGCTTTCCTCACAGTCATGAAAGATGTAAAATGAAGAAACAGATTCTTAAATCATCACTGAAGGGGAGAAGCCTGAGGGTGCGGAGCAGCCACCGTCCCACAGCCAGGCGACTGCACTGAAGTCATGGGAATGTGCAACCACAGCTGCTTCTCCTTTTGCAGAGCCATCTAAACTGGTCCCAAAAGCAAAGCCCACATTGCCCTGAAACCTTTTAAATATTGAAAATGACAGTTTCCATTGTTACCTACCCACACAAACAGCATTAAGCAAAGAACAGCCGAAGAGCACATGAAGGGAGAACTTTCACCTTTGCTTCCCCTTTTCTCCCCAAATAGGGAACCTCACTCCTTGCATACAATTTGGCTGCAACACTTTAAGCCAAGAAAGAGCTCTCGATGCTGGAGAAATGACTTAGTTCTATACTGACTTTGCTTATTGTAAGCATTAAGTTTAGCTGAAATAATGCTTTTGATGGCTGAGAGGATAGGAGACAAATCTCCTGACTTCAAAAGGCCTACTGTTGAGATGATGACTGCGTTATGAAAACACCATTTGCACCCATCACCATTAATACATGTCACCATCTACACCGATACATCCACTGCAGGGGCTCTTAAGGCATAGGGTCACCCTGCACTTCTAGAAACACTCTTCACAAATGCCAAAGATGGATGCAACCACGGAGGAGGTGCAGAAACACAGCACAGGGGTGGCTATCACAGCTGAAACCCCTCCTTGATCCTCCTGCCAGCTCAGGGAATCCTGCACTGCTTTTGAGGCTTTTCAAAATCAGACAACAAAGTATTTATTAATATCAGAATAATCTGATCACGGACCAAACCCTGAGAAACAATGCCCATCAGTGGGAGACAAGGAGTCCACCACCACCACGTGCTCCCCAAACAAGGTGATGTCTCTGCACACACAAAATGCAGGGTCACCATTCTCACAACTTGCTACAGGCACAACACCACCTCCTGGCTGCAAGCAGCACTTTGGGAGATATACTCACTGACATCTTTGTGAACTGCTCCTCGTGTACATTTTAAGGTGTGTAAACTGTTTTTTTTCCCTATTTCCTGATGCAGAAATGCCTTCACTGGGGCACCATTCAGATCACGGTTAAACACTGTGGTTTTATCTTTTGTTTCAGGTGTCTTTTGTAACCCACGAGACAGTTACATGAGATTAACAAGAAGCAGAAAGTTATGGCAGATAAAATACAAAAATTCCCAAGTAAAACAAACCAAACCAAACCCCACAATAAGCACTGCAGAACATTTCACAAAGAACAGCATCCTCTAAGTGACAATCTTACCTCCTGGGCTGGGACCGGCATTCTTCTTCCCCACTGTCTGCCTCCTGCGTACATAGGAGAGGAAGGAAAAGAAGAGTTAATATGCTTTAATATATATAT